ATATCAAATCATATTGCAGCTTTGGAAGTGGTTTTGAGAATGCTTAATGGCCGTTTGTTAGGAAAGATAAAGTTACTATAGATTTTTAAGGTGTATTCTCTACAGTGTAATCCTAAAAGTAGGGCTGTCTTTTGTAAGTATAGGCACTTGATTTCTGTACTCGTTAGCTTTAATAAAAACGTCTCCTGAAGACAAGGTCATCTTTTTGGATGGTTCAGCTCTGTCTGCTAAAATAAGCTGTTGGCGAAATGGGAATTCCAGCATCCTGTGCCTGACTCAGAGAGTGCAGCCCACATTTTCTTCTGTAGTTCTGCCACTGCTGCATTCAAATAAGTCTATTCTGTGATACATCCATAATCACCTGCTTCTCTTCATTGCTCTAGTCTATCTTATACTGAGTCACACTAAGTCAATAGAAAACTTTACCTGGATCCTATTACTTGAATTACACATTACATTATACTCATGGCTTTATCTAGGTTTGTTTTTAAAAAAGTAAATACTTCTTTTTGCTTATTTTACTGAGAATATTGCCTGTTATTTCATTCTTTATGCCTCATATAGATCCCAATGTGACACATTTTCTGATGTGAAAGAAAACATTTGTTTTCTTTGATAAAGGGTAGTTTTCTATCTTTTAAATAATAAAATATATAGAATTTACATGTTTACTGTGGCTTCCTAGAAGTACAGCCAAATTTAGATATTAATTGTAGCAATTGTGTCTGGCAATTTTACAAATTAATTAAGAGTAATCATTATGTAAACCAGGAGGTAGCAAACTATGGCCCACCTGAGGCCTGTTCTTATAAAAAGATCTCATCAGAACATAACCATGGTAATTTGTGTGTTTTTAGTTGCTTTTGTGCTATAATGGCATATTCAAGTAGTTGTTTTCAGGCCTTTTATAGAAAAAGATTTCCAATCCTAAAGAAGTAGTCACATGGTGGTGTAAGTCAGTAATACAAAACAAGGTCATTCCCATTAAATATGGCTAGTTGGCAGAGGCTAAACAGAGACGTGATATGGAAGGAATATAATCTTTATTTATTTATTTATTTTTTCCGGTACTGGGAATCGAACTCACAGCCTCGCGCTTGCCAGGCAGGCGCTGTGCCACTGAGCTAAATCCCCAGCCCCAGAATATAATCTTTAATTAGTGGAAACAAATAGGGAAGGACATTCTACATGGGAGCAAAATCCATAAATAAAATTCCATAAGAAGGAACAGATTTTGAGCTTGTGGGCCATTTTAAAGAGTATTTTAGCTAGATTGAAGTTGCAGGCATGAAAATGAAGTCGCCTGGATGGCCTTTATTAGAGGACTTGAAAGCCAGGCATCAGAATTTGTATTTAATCTGATAGGCAATTGAAAACCCACTATGAATTCCTCACCAGGAAATGATGTGATGGAAATAGCATTTCAGGACAGTTATCCTGACAACCGTTATTGATGAACTAAGCATGCAGAGTCCCACGATGAAACAGCTACTGGAATAACTTGGCATGAAGAGTGAACGTGACGTGTCTAGAGCAGGAGGGACAAGTGGTACTGAGATGTCAGAAAGCATGCAATGGGCTTTGTGCCTGACTGGACTTAGAGAATGGTGGCAAAGTAAGTTGTACAAAGAAAACCGGGAAGGAAATGAAGTGAATTGGGAAGAATTTTTAAAAATGACATGTTGTCTTTGACATCCCCAGTCTGGAGGTTTAAAACCCCAGGTGAGAAAGCGTGGAAGTGTTGGAGATGGACTGGATGGAAGCCAATAGCTCAGGGAGAATAGTTGCAAAGGAAAGACAGTGCCAGCAGAAAGGCTGGGTGACTTCAGCATGGGAATGGGAACCTGAGGAGCAGAGGGACAGTTGAAAAGGGGGAGTGGGCAGAGCAGTGCTTCTTGGGTAGTAGGGAAGCGTTTCCTGGTGTGTAACTTATGAAAGGCTGGTTGTGTAGATGATTAACAGGTATTTCTATAATTGTATGAACAGATAAATTTGGTGAACTTTAGGTTATTAAACTATTTGAGAGGACCAAGAGCAGAAATTCTACTTCAGACTTGAATAGACTTCCTTCTCAACTTCTTTAACAGTATTCACCATTATTTTTATTTCAAACTAAGATCTTTTTCTCCAACTTTAGATTCACATATATGACTTTCTACCTCACACCTCTACTTGCCTATCACGTATCTAAAACCAAACTGGAATTTGTAGTCTTCCACACAAAACATGTTTCCTCATCTCAGTTGATGGCAAATGGATTCTTTCATTGTAGTAAAAAAAAAAAAAAAAACACAACAAAAATTGTGTAGGATATTTTCATAGGTATTATGGTAGGAAATTTATATTATAGGTATTATGGTAGGAAATTTTTTGATATATGCAGACATTTTAATATATAAACTGCCCAAAGGAATTGGGATGAATAAAATTGGTCAAATTAAAAACCTTGGAGTCATCCTTGAGTCCTTTCTTCTGTAGTATCATGGAATCCATGTTGTCTCTTCCTTGAAGTAGCCAGAATCTGACCACTTCTTGCCTCAACTGATTCTATTAAATTTTACCCCTTATTTCTTCAGTAACTTCCCATTTCACTTAGGGCAACTGCACCAGCCCCTCCACTGTCCTCCAAGCCTTTTGTGGTCTGACGTCTCATGGTGTCTCGGCCTCATTTACCATCCTGCTCCTTCACACTGCTCTATGCCCGTCTCCTTATTCTCCCCAAGATAGGTCTGAAGCACTTTCTTAGATGGAGGCTTTTGTGCTGCCTGTTTCCTGTCCTGTGACCTTCCTTCCTCAGATACCTGTTGTGTTAGTTAGGATAACTCGCGTCCTTTCCCCCTTTTGTTCTTTGAATGCCATCCTCTCCAGGAGAGACTGATCCTGACTTAGCTGCTTAAGGTAGAAAGTGTGCCCTTCCCCGTTTCTTATGCAGCACTACTGTGTTTTTCTTTTTTCTTAGCACTTGTCACTTTCTAATACATTGCATTTTTTGTTTTTGGTAACTTGTTTTTTCATTTATTTTGACATTGCATTTTATATACAGTATTTTTAATTTGTTGCCTCTTCCCACTAGACTATTCTCCATAAATACAAACATTTGTGTCTGTTTGATTAACTGACATAGTCCCAGCATCTAGAAACAGTGCCTAGGTACAAAATAGATGTCTAATAAATGTTTGTTAGATGAATGTAAAACTTGTAAGATGTGAACATATGTCCTCACAGAATCCCACTACCATTTCCCGTTTACAAAATCTCTTTTTCCTGGGTTTCCCCAGTAGACACTTTGGGAAAGTCTGTTGTGGAAATTCTGTGTGTTATGGAATTCAAAGGAAAAGAAAATTCCAAGAAAATTGTGATTAGCACAATTTGCAAGTTGAAGAAATGCTGACTCAGTTAAGCTACCAAGTAGGTGTGGATAGGGAAATGGTTTTCGATTTCGAACAAGGTATTTCTGTGCTCTGGCATGTTAAATTCAAAGAAGTAAAGTTGGACATAGATCTTGAAGAAAAAAGCCAGGAGATTAGCTTTAGATGAAAGGGAGAAAAGTAGGTAGGAAAGAAGTTAGAAGATGCTGCAGGTTCAACACAAGGTGCTTCTGTTTTTGAGATCAAGAGAGCTTGATTTTGTCCTTTGTTACTTTTATAAGGTAGCCTAGAATATTAGTCAGTTTGTGTTACAGTAATGAAGATTGACACTGAGTAGCTTTATAAAGAGGTTTATTTAGCTCACAGTTTGGGAAGATCAAGGACCTGCATCTGGTGATGGTCTTGCTAGCAGAGTTCTGAGGTAGCACAGGGTGTTCATTGTACGGTAAGAGCCAGGGAACATGCATGTGTGTGTCTTTTGATCTTTTTCCTTCTTACAAATCACTGTTATTCTATCATGAGGGCTGTGTTCTGGTGACCTTATTATGTAATCCTAATCACCCCTAAAAACCCCATCTCTAAGTACTATATAGCAATTGAGTTTCCTCTCAATGAATATCTTGCAGTGGGGATTAAATTTCAACATATGAACCCTTGGAGATTCACTCACACCATATCCTAACCATAATGTTTAGTATATTATATTGACATAAACTTTATTTTTTATTTTTGTTGTTAAAAATAGATGATCTACAGTACCCTATTTTTTAGAGTAGTGTACTTTGGTTGATTCAGAACTGCATGTATATTGGATAAGTTGGGTTCCATAGGAAATACTTTCAGTAGTTCTAGGACTTCACTTTTTTGGAGGAGGCATAACCACCCTCCTCCTGTGTGTGTGTGTGTGTGTGTGTGTGTGTGTGTGTGTGTGTGTTTCTTTTTGAGACAGGGTCTCGCTATGCAGTTCATACTGGTCTTGAGCTTACTTTGGAGCCTAGGCTGGTGTTGAACTCATAACAATCCTCCTGCCTCAGCCTCCCAAATGCTGGGATTACAGGTGTGGGCCACCACACCCGGTCTGTATGTTTTGGGAGCCCACTGTGAATGAGAGGTGTGATATAAATATTAAAAATTGGTGCTGATTACTTGCTGTTTTTTTAGGAGGCAAGCCGTCTCTTTTGATGTATGAGTTTCTAGGTCATTTCTGTAGTTAACTTGTCATTACTTGTCATTAGCAGCTGGATTAGTGCTTAAATGGCAGTTTGACCAAAGTAAGGCATACTTCCATGACAATTTGACTTTCCCTTATAAGTTGGGACCCATCAAAGGGTTAAATTTAGCTGAACTGTGTTGTTGGATTTTTTGATATCTTTACAAATAATATGGTATGAATTAAACTGTTTCTGGATTGATTCTCATGGGAAAAACCAGGGACCATTGGGCATTTTAGCTGATTGCATGACATTTAAATTCTAAAGTGGTTAACAATGAAGATTGTGCCACAGAGCCCTATGTTTTATTTCCATTGCTGTCTTTGGGATGAATTACATTCATATTACTTGAGGAATAATTGGTTTGCATTCCTCTAATTCAAACCAACTGTAGGACTAACATTCTTTTGTTTTGGTTACAGAAGCTGCATACCTACATGTAAGAGAAGCAAAAATGTCAGATGATATCAGAAAAAGGTTTGATTTTCCAAATTCCCTTATTCAATCACAGGTAAGTTCATTTATTTGTTTTTGCTTCATGGTAACAAATGAATCTTTTTGGTGGGTGGTTAATTTGAGTTCTTTTTTAATGTTAGTTTTTATTCTTCTACATACTTGAATAGAGACTATTTTACCAAATAATTTTTATATTAGTTATTTTGAAAAAATATAGTTAAAGTAGAGAAACAAATACTTGAAATTGATCAATCTAAGCTTCTGTTTATATCATACTTTTCTTCCTAGAGATACTAAAACCTGGTTAACTAGCAGGCTGCTGAATGTTTTTTTTCGTGTAATTAATTATTGGGAACAGTAGATGGTTATACATCCGCAGAGTTTGAGCAATTAATATTTAAAAAGATATATTCTATCGCTGTACAACTATTAAGAATAATAGATTTTTATAACAATGCTTCAATAATTAAAATTTTCTACATTAAAAAATTTGATCTATCTGTGAAATAGAAAATTCTGGCAATTATTTTAGAGAGTGTTTCACTAAGACAAATAGTTAAAGAGGGTTTTCTGGTTAGCCATTGTCTAATGGCTAATTAGAAGTGTTCTGGTTAATCAAGGTATCATGCTGGCTTATTATCTTTTCCTGTGAGAATAAAGCTAAGAAGCCAGCAGAAGCCAGCTGAAGACTGAATGATGAACAGCATCTTGGATACCTGCAACAGTTCACTTCGGAGATGGTTGCTGTGGGAATTGACTTAGCTGGGCAGTGGGGAACCCTTCCATGAGGAGTAGAACACTCCTTATGCAAGATTCCCTTCTGCCTGGCTGGGTTGGAGTCATAGTCTTCCCTGTGCAGCACAGGTCTCTACTGTGAAAAACAAGATGACGGCTTGGAAGACCCTGTCCACAATTTTTATGCTTCCGTGCCTGGAGTCTATTCTTTGGCACATCAAGAATGACTATATGTATTACTGTTAAATTAAGTGAAAACTGTGTATGTTTTGTTAAATGTAGAATGTCTTTAAATTCTGTTATGGAAAATTTAAGTGCTAATGTAGGCTGATTTATCCTCATGTTTTATATTTTCAAGTGAATTCAAGCTAGTATCTCTGATTTGTTAGAAGAATAACTGAAAATTAAATAAAAGAAACAACCTGGTGCTAAGAAGAGGACATATAACATTAAATTTATTTTCTTTTAGTCTTTTTTTCTAAATATGAAGTATAGCTTTTTTTTGGTTCCTGTTGCTTTTTATATTTGTTTTATTAGGCTCTTGTGATTGCCACTTATTCTCTGTGAATCATGTACTACTATTTAATGTTCTTTTGTAACAACTGCTCATTGTTACCACCATAGTTCATTGATTCACACACCTCTTTTTTTGTTTTTTTACATTTTAACATGTTTGCCATTGGATTAGTGATTGATCGCAGCAGTTGAGATACTTGGTCTTGCCTACACACTGATGAACTGGTTGTGGCTTCCTAAATGGCTCTATAACAGCTCTTTCATTAATCACAATCAAAATTTCAAATGATTAAAAACATTATATGTGATAGATATTAATAAAATGATATCAATGAAATGTTAAATGTCAATGAAATATGGTATGTTTGGGGAAGCAAGAACACAAACTATTTACTGGTCCTCAGTTCTTTTACTTACCCTTTTGCTAGAAGATAAGAGATAGTAAATTGAACTCATCTTAATACTTATGTAAATGAGTGACTTGTTTGTAAAACCAAGACCTTCAAGCTTTGAAGTCTCAAATCCATCCCAGTGTGTGCACACTCTTGGGGAGCAGGTGTTGTGTTTTTACTTGAGCTTCTCTGGAGACTTTGCAAGACTAACAGTGATTTTCATCTGTATTGCACATGGCCCCAAATGCAGGACGGAGAGTTGCTGCATTGGTGTTTTCTGCAACTACGGATTGAATAACTGGTTATTACCATCCATTGGCTCCCAGACTCAGTGCTGGGTAGGGCTGAAGACTTAGGGGTATGAAGCTGAAGTGCTCATAATATTTATGTCCTTTTGTAATCAGTACTCCCAGAAGACTCTGGAATTTAATTTTGGGCTCTTTGACTTTAAGCAGATACAGGAAAAGTTTAGATGTTCATGATATTGAAAGCTTATTAAAGGGCTGAAAATGACAAGAAATTAAAAAAACAGGGCCTAACGAAGGGAGAATGGCAGTGGTGGTGAAGAGATCTGTTGGATTAGCATATGTGGGCCATAGCCATTAAATGGGGATGACTTTTCTTTGTCTTTAATAAAGGCATGTTGAAATGTGATGGATTTCATTTAGATGCAAAGATGATTTTAAAAATTGAGTTTTCTCATTTGTTTCATGTTTTAATACATAAAGCAGTCTCAAATTATCTTTTAATACTGAATGACAGCAATTTGAACTCAAAACCTTGCAATTTTTGTAACATCTAAGAACTATAGTTTGCTTATTGGTAATGTGGGATAATAATGCCTATCTGAAGAGATGGTCTGAACAGTAAATGTTGGGCACATGGAGTGCCTAATTTAGTGTCTTATACAGAGTGCCCATTTAATGTAGGAATTTCATTTATTTTCAGCCGATTGCTTGGCATATCCCTACTCATATTAAGGAGTATTAATGTTAGTTACTCTCGCATGCACTATTTGGAAAGAATGTCTCAAGGGAATGTGCTCATTAATTTTGTTTGTTTTTCAGGCTGCGGGTCATCTTATTGCTGCCGTCCTAAAAGAAAATAGTTTTTCAGGAAAGATCCACCAATCCACAAACCAGGTCAGTGTTTAGTTTTGTGCTTGTATTCTATTCAGATATTGCTCTAGCTGATCACATATGCAATTGCCTTGTTTGTCTTGTTGTTTGGGTCACCATAGATTTTTTTTTTGGCCTTTTTTTTTTTTGGTTTTTTGGTTTTTCTCCGGTACCGGGAACCGAACTCACGACCTTGCGCTTGCCAGGCAAGTGCTTTGCCGCTGAGCTATATCCCCAGCCCCTTTTTTGGCCTTTTTGAGACAGGGTCTCATAATGCAGTTCAGGCTGGCTTTTAACTCGCTTTGTAGCCCAGGCTGGCCTCGAGCTTGCCGCAGTCTGTTTCCTGCTTCACCCTCCTGAGTGCTGGAATTACAGGCGTGTGCCACCACGTCCTGCAGGTCTCCATAGATTTTGGACTGAGAAAACTTTATTGCTTTTTATCTGTTCATTTGTTTTCCCTTTTTTTTTTTCTGTTTGCATCTTTTAGTTTATCCTGGGGGTTGAACCCTAGGTAAGTACTCTATCACTGAACTAAAACCCTAGCTCTTTAACATTCTTTTAACACTTAAAATTGTTCCAGCAGAGCCAAAAGAAAACCCACAAACTTGGAAAAAATTTTAGCTGATTGTCCCTCAGACAAAGGGCTTCTATCTAGAACATATAAAGAATTAAAAAATTTCAGCC